AACAACAACAACAACAAAAAAATGGAGAATTATACAAGCAAAGATTGTTGAACAAGCTCGTAAGTCAGAAGCGATTATGTTTTTAAAAAACAAATATTGTCACGAAGAACATTTTACCACAATAATCTTTACTGAGAGCTGCTTTCGGTTTTGGACCCGAAAGTGGTTTAGGATGTTTCTTACTAGTCACTTTTCAAGATGGCGTCCAAATATTATTTAAATAAGGCTCGCTATAACTAGCGAGTTCCGAAATCTTGTTTTCTATAAATATATCTTTCTCGTTGTCTAGATACTTGCACGACAATCCCTGGGACTGCACATGCGCACTAAAGTGGTTGATTGATTTAATGAAGGACACGTTGATAAGACCTCTACTCAGGCATCCCACATGCGCTACTCCACAGAAACTCAAAGGTATAAGACTCGTAGAAGTACAAGACCAGGACTATTGTGGTAAGAAAATACGTGGTCGTTATAGGTGATTGGGGTCGGGATGGAAGGGCGGTGGATTCTTTCAATTCAGTTTGACACTAGCTGTCACGTGGTTTACATTGTGTTACAATCACCAAAATTTTTCGAACATCGTCATCGGATTGTCGTACGAATTCACTGACATTTGAATAAAATTTTCGACTTGATTTGCATTTTACTGATAAAATTAGAGATAATTAACAATTTGATTGAAGAACATTTAAAAATTTTCTTACGGTGTTTTGTTAAAGCAAAGAAAAGCTACTAAATAGATTGGCTTATGTTTTGAATTGACTAAAATGTGCGTGCTAAAATGTGCAGACACATTCCAAGATGGCGTCTATGTCGTCCACTAAAACAGCCCCAAAATGCACAGCAGTGTCAACTCGACCCAGTTTTCCCTCAACTTCAGGATGGCTAATACTATGGTATATCTTTTTCTTAGTTATCAAAGAATGCTCGGAATGTGATGACGCAGCTGATTGCGTAATATACAACAACAAGTACGCGTGCATTTGTCGACCAAGTTATGATGGTAATGGAAAGTATTGTGCAGGTATGGACTTCAAACTTTCTCACATGAAAAGATATTTGAAACCAAGTATTAATAGACCTAATTCGTCAGTCTTGGTGCAATGTTTCCCATACTGACCACGTGTCATTCCCAAGAGAATCACTTCCTTTGTTTAACGGTTGCGCATGAGAAAATACATGAATATGGTAACAACTCAAATAAAGAATGTCATTCTCAAGGGAATGATTAATGTGATCTGAAATGGGTAAAAATTTCTCCAAGACGAATTTATAGGTCTATTTATACTACTTTAAAGTGCTTAGAATAGGTTACTAGGAATTGGATATAAAACCAATTATAATCAAAGGGGTTAGAATAGACTTTTCCCCCCGATTGCCATTCCAAAGAAAACGAAATAACACAAGACACAGCGGCCATGTTAGATGATATAACAAAAGAATCTTTTGTTAAATTTATCCAACATGGCGGCTGTGAAAACCATCGATTCCTCCCACTTCGTTCATTGATTGCAGACTCATTTACTCAGGATTAGCCTCAGTTCATTATCAAAATATTCATAATTAAATAAATAAAATAAATAAATAATAATAATGGGATTTTCCACAAAGTGGCTCTTCTTCCGCTGGATTCCAATTGGAATTTAGAAGTTGATTTTTGCACAAGTTTAACAATACAAACAATTTGAAATTCCATGAAACTAGGGTAATTTGCTAAACGTCGGGAATAGGACCGAATTAATAGAGATCTTGTAGTTTTGGATTTTTTGCGTCTATAGATAAGGACGAATGTGCCGTGAGTTCAACGAACAACTGTAAAGTAAACGAATTGTGCGAGAACTTCGCCGGCGGATATCAATGCGTTTGTTCTGGAGGATTTCAAAAAGTAAACGGAGAGTGTGTAGGTAGGTGCGTTATGGTATATAGTCAAAAAAAAAAAAAAAAAAAAAAAAAAACACAAAAAAAAAACCCCAAAAAACACACAAACAAACTACATAAATACTAGCCTAAGGCACACGAAGTCAAGGCAAGGTAAAGCAGAGCAAGCGGCATATCATAGCTGAACGCATAGAATAGCATGGCATAGTATGGCATGGTATGGCATCGACACCACATTACAGTATAGCAAGGCATGGCATAGCCTGATATAGCATGGCATATAGCATAGACAGCATAGCACAGCACAGCACCGCAAAGCACAGTATAGCATCGCATATAGCACAGACAGCACAGCACAGAACAGCACAGCAAGCACACCACAGTATAGAATGGCATGATATAGCACAGTAAACCATAGACAGAACAGTACAGCATGGCATAGCATAGTACAGTAAAACATAGGGCACAAGTAGAACAACATGGCACGGTAGGCTCCTACAGCACAGCACAACATATTCTGAAACCTTATTAACCCGTTAGTTATCATGTATTAGATATAGATGAATGCGCGCCTCCTCCAGTTGGGTGTGGTCCAGGACAAGGTACATGTAAGAACACTATTGGCAGCTATCAATGTACCTGCAACCCTGGCCTCAAATACTCTGATCAAGGATGTGTCGGTGAGTACTTACGCATCAGGGTACTACCCGTGTATTACTTCAGAAGTAGACTAATAGAGGTTAATAGAGATCTTATCTTTGTCGTTTTCGTTTGTATATGGTTGACTATTACTCACTAGTAATTTTTATCAACGTTTCGCGGGTTACAGCGAGGACACTCGAACGGTGAACACTTTTTTTCAGGTTGAGCTAGGTTGTTATTTCCTAAACTTTCCGCAATTGTTTTAAATAAACTTTTTTTTTTCAATCGATTGGCTCTAGGGAAGATTTAAGGCAGTACGCACTTTTCAAACGGAGCGAAAAGACGCAAGTAAAATCATTCTACTTTTTCATTATATGCACCATGCATAAGATGCGCGTGACGAACCGACATATTATGGCCAACAAGACACGTCGTTATATACTGCAGATTCTCAAGTCACTCATGATGAAATTTAACACCAATGTGGCTTGTTTTGTTTTTTCAGATTTTGACGAGTGTAAATCTAAGAGTGACCCATGTAAGGATATATCACACAGTACATGTGTTAACAAGGCAATCATTGCTGTCGGAGACCAGGGTTATTCTTGTCAGTGTAACGAAGGATACATCAAGTCAGGCGATGCTTGCGTATTCAAAGGTTTGTAAAAAATCTAGAGAATGGGTGTAAACCGCTCGTTTTTTCTGTTGTCTTGCGCCGTGGAGATTGTTCTATTGTCTTTTGTTATATATTTTTTGTGTACAATGCAAAAATGCGATATTTTTCTGAACTTAATTTTCACTTTTATCATCGGGCTCCCTGTGCTTTGTTTCTCATTTGACTGTCTAGCTTGTTACAAAAAAAGTAAGAGAAATCAGAGCTGCTTTTCCTTTTGGATTCGAAAGCGTATTTTTCCAGATTAATTGGCTTCACATTTAAATAAAAGCTAGTCTATCCCACCCTGGATCCGCCCTTGACAGCCTGCCAAGTGGCTGCCTTGGGGTTCTGTAGCCATACGTAAAAATATATCAAACCGATAATAATCCTCTGGCGAATTGCTGACTTTTAGATGACCCAAACAGGAAGTACATCATTATTGGTGCTGGGTCTGGAGTGATCGTTCTTGCTGTAATTCTCATTATTATCATTTGTATCCTTTGTAAGAGAAGAGGAAGGTAAGTTAGAAGTTTACATTACAGAGCTGATCCTTTCTCGTATTCAAATTGTATCGATACCTTGAAACAAGATGTGACAAGCTGGGTTAACATGATGATATAAAGATTAATATAATGATAAGGATGATGATGTTAACGATAATGATAGCGACGACGATGATGGAGATGATGATGATGACAATGATGATGCATTATGACTCATGATAATAATGATGATATTTGATGCTGATCGTGGTGATGATACATGATGATGATGATGATAACGACGACGACGATGACAATGATGCATGATGATGATTCATGATAATGATGATATTTGATGCTGATCGTATGAATAATGGTGATGCTACATGATGACGATGATGACGATAATGATGACGACACCAACGATGTTGATGATGATTCATGAAAATGATGATTCATGATGATGATGATACTTGATGCTGTTTATGATTATATGAATGATAACGGTGATGATACTTGATGATGATGATGTAACGAAGGTGATGATGATGACGAAGGTGATGGTAATGGTGATTATTATTATTTCGCAGTGTGTATATATTTTTTCATGATCACAGTAAAAAAAGCATGCTCATTTATTAATCATAAATTATTTTTTTAAAATTTTATTAAAAAAGCCGAAAAAAGGAAGAAAAAGAACCAGAGTTTGTGATAGCGCCGGTCACCATGACAACACCTATAGATTTCGCCTTTATGGATGTACCCCAAGGACAGGCCCAAGATTTAGGAAACGAGGAATGGAACGAAATGGACTCCGACGACCTCTGAAGAAAAATAGATGGAAAAAACAGTGGACAAATTTTGCCTCGATTAAAAATAAAATGGCTGGAAATTCTGTATGAAAATAAAAAAACGTTTCTTAAAAAGGATTATAGCGATTTTTACGCTGCGCTCACCTATTGACATTTATGTGTCAACCAGAGATCTATTGGCTACTGAAATAAAGAGATCTTTTGTTTTAATGGTTGGCAATTTTGAATGAAAAACGATTCCTGACGTCGATGTTTGTAGAGTAAATAGGCAGATTAAGATTCCCGTTTTTCGTTCCAGCAAACGGCAAACGTGACCACGTTTTCATCGTTTCCCTACATTTCACTTTACCTTTTGCAAACCTTCTCGACGAAGAAAAGTATTCTTTTGTTTATCTGCTACTTGGAGATTTTTGTGATTCCTTTTCACTAATTTTTAAGAATTTTTTAAAGTGGTCAACTGACGTTTCACGTTTGCCGTAAACGAGGATCTTAAACTCTCTAATATCGCTATTATTAGCGACGTAAAAAGAGTTGCCCTTTTTAGGACAAATTATGATAACATTCAACACTTATAAGCTTAATTATTTCAATTGAATCTAATATTATTATCTTCCTCATGGTGCGGCAGAACGGCCAATAAAAGAATTACATTCTTTAGTGGCAAAATTATAAAAGCACTCTAAGCTTACTTTCAATTGAATCTAATATTATTATCTTTCTCAAATGGTGCTATAGCAAGGCCAACAAAGTCGTAAAACAACTAGACTGCCAGCAGTTCATCTATTTCCATTGGTCAATGTCGGTCTGTTTGTCCGTGTTGATTGGCCGAGGAAGATTGGTTACGAGTCAAAAGTCCCTGGGGGAGAGGGCTGGGGAGGGAAGGACGAAAGGAAAATAGAGGGACTGCTCCCAGTCTATAAAACAACGCTTCTGTGGCAGCAGCAATGTTGCACACTGCTGCTCGTATTGCTGTTGCACGAGATAGCAAGCAGCTCGATCGTTGCACTTTGTTCCAAAAAAAAAAAAAAAGGAAAAACTGCTGCGCTTCAAGTGAAAATGCTAGAAACATTTTCTCTTCAATTGATAATGTTGCGTAACTTATTGTAGGATTTAGTTAGCTGTATTACCGCACCGTAGGAAATCGCGAATCGAAAAACCGTGGCCACCTAGAAATATTCCAGAAATGTTGTATTCTTCTTTGGCCAATTAAAATTGACTTTCTAACAACAAGATAATGGAAAGATAACAATAACGCTTCTGATTGGCTATTAAACAATCTTGAAATATTTCTAGGTGCTCACGGTTTTTTGATTCGTACTGTAAGACGCCWTTCCACTCGTGTGCCGAACTCAATAGACCACCGTACCTTGGATGTTGTATTAGGCCCCGTCCACACGTGTCCGGAAATTTTTGTATCCGTATCCGGAAATTTTCGAAAACGGTCTTCAGAGTGGAAATTTTCGAATGCGCTCCGAATACGGATACGTGTGGACGGTCGTATCCGCAAATTTTCGAATACGTTGACGTAAACACGATTTTGCGCATGCTCAATAAGAAAAACTTTCCGTCAAAGGGACTAGGCACTAGCGTGCATCAGGGCGGATCATGAAATTTCCGGATACGTGTGGACGGGGCCTTAAGCTCGGCAGATTAGTGGAGTGACGCACAGAGGGACCTTATATGGTTATTTGATTTATTACTAATTATTGCCCCCAATTACCCCATTCAATTATGAACTCCATTTAAATTGTTTATACATCCCTTATCAATTTTATAATCAATTATTTCAGAATATAGGAAAAATACGTTCCCGTTGTTTCTGCATTTTACATGTGCAATAAGGTATTCCTCATACCAGCAAGGAAAAGTTCATTTTAAAATTCGAAATAAAATCGTATTTAAATTTTATCGATACCCTGGAACAACCTCTGGGCTGATCTAAGTCGGGGCTCGGCTAACTCACAGATCCAACCCTGGAACAACCTCTGGGCTGATCTAAGTCGGGGCTCGGCTAACTCACAGATCGAACCCTGAAACAACCTCTGGGCTGATCTAAGTCAGGGCTCGGCTAACTCACAGATAGAACCCTGAAACAACCTCTAGTCTAATCTAAGTATTAGGTTTGCTGAGGGAGCAAGGTCCTCGAATCAAGGGAGAGACTAACAAACACTACTCACGTCGAACCTGGGACTTCTGAGGTGAAAGGCGAGTTAACTACGACTACACCACTTTAGATTTCAAAGATCAAGAAAAGAATATCCTTTTCCAGTAGTGTTTTCCTATTTCATCTTCTAAAAAGTCGGCCGCAATTATTGCGCGCATGTGTAAAAAGTGTTCTGAGCACGCGCAGTAAATAATCTGGAAACTAAAATCACTGTACGTCTTCTCCTTTGTCGCAAAATAAAAAATTAAAAGGTTTTTTTCGCGTGAGTGGGAACATGACATTGAAATGGCTTCGCATGAGAACGGATTTCGTCATACTCCACATATTGTCAAAGCTGTGACGTCATCTTCTAAGATTCTTTTTAGTTTCTCTTAAGGCCTATTTACACGGCACGATTTGCCGCGCGCGACTTGACGTATACGGCAAAATTAGCTCAAAATCGGGTCGTGTAAATGGTCCTACGACAGACGTACGCGGCCTCAAGACTTGTCGTAGCATTTTAAACTTTGGCTTAAAACCCTACGACATGCCGTAGGAAAATGACGTAAATATGACGATTTTGACCGAGATTGGGACTGGAACTAGTTGATTCCAAAACAAAATGGCGGATTTCCATGAAAACGTCTTTACCGGTTATTAAACACGAAGTGCAAAAATTCTGAATGTTCTCATCAAATAACAAGGTAGACATGATCATTTCCTGCACTTCTCAACTGTGTATGGTGGCATTTTACAAAAAGAAACATTTGCTGTAATGACGAGTAAATATTGCTCGCGTTTTTTTCGTGCCGCGTGCGACAAGTTGTGCTCGTGTAAATGGTACCAAAATTTGCCGTATACGTCAAGTCGCGCGCGGCAAATCGTGCCGTGTAAATAGGCCTTTATGCGAATCCCTCTTCAACTATTATGAGTACCTCATATATATACATTACCCTTTGCATAAATTTTAAACATTTGAACAATATTAGCAGCACAAGTGTCATCCTTTGTCGTTGTGTCTCAACTCCTGCCAGTATAACCACTGGTTTCCAGTTGTGCACGGGAAAACTTGTCCGCGTTCATGTCATGTGGACTGGTATTCGTGTCACGTGGTATTCGTGTCACGTGGTATTCGTGTCACGTGGTATTCGGGTCACGTGGTATTCGGGTCACGTGGTAGTCGGGTCACGTGGTATTTACAGCGATGATGATTAGTTTACCATCGATTAAAGGTACAAAGATATGACTGTTGTCTTTGGCCAAAGATATGCTTGTTATACTTGTGCGGAGCTTTATGCTTTTTACTTCTTTTAAACTAGGGAAAATATAAAACAAGCTTAAGCCACTGAAGCTATCGTAAAGAATAGATACCAAAATGCCGAGAAATGGTAAAAAAAAAACAATGATTCGAAATATGTAGTGCGCATGCTCGGGAAAAGCGCGAGAAAACTATTGGCGAACGCGTACGTATCGAGATCAAAGCAGTGCTTCCCTTGGGATTCCTGTGTTTTTTCTACTTACCCATGAAGTTCCCGTATGCTGAGTCTTCCACCGCTGCCACCAGTGACAACATACTCTCCACATACTGTCATGGCTGTGACGTCATCTTTCAGGGTTCTTTCGTCATCCAGTAGTCGGCCATTGATGGAGTAGCGACAGAGTGTACGGTGTTCTCGACCATAGCAGAAGAGAACAATGTTACCGTATTCTGAGATACTGAGAGAGGAGACTCGATAGAGACCGGGAGTAGAGATTTGCTCGGTGTCCAGGGGTCTTAGAGTTCGTACGTATTCACCCTTTCTTGCCGTGTGGATTATACAAGTGCCATCCTGGGAAACGAAAAAAGAAAGAATGAAAGAGTAAAATAGTGAATGGAAAGAAGGTATAGATGGAAGGAGATAAAAGGAGAAAGGACGAAAGAACGAAAGGTTAACCTGAAGGAAAGGAAAATAAAGAAGGAAAGAAAGAAGCATAAAGGGAGAAGAGGAAAAAAGGAGAAAATAAGCAAACAAAAAAACAAAAAAACAAAAAAAACAAAAAAACAAAAAAAACAAAAAAAAAAAAAAAAAAAAAAAAAAAAAAAACCAAGGAAGAAAGGAAATGAAGAAACACAAGACAAAACAAAAGAAAAACAAACATACAAACAAAAAACAAACGAACAAACAAAACAAAACAGAAAACAAACAAACAAACAAACAAAAAACCCGAAGGAAAAAAGGAAATGAATAAAGCTGAACAAGCAAACATGGAATATTGGTAAAACATCTAATAATAAAACCAACTACAAAACGAAAAGAAACAAACACTCACCTCGGCACCGCTGACCACCAAGTCCATCTCCAAACTAATGGCCACACACGTGATCTCTCGGTCATGACCATATAAGGTCTGCAACGGTGTCTTCTCCACGTCCGATGCCCAGCCTCCCAAATGAGTTACTCTCCAAATACGGCATGTTGTGTCACGTGAACCTGTGATCAGATGTCGGCCATCACTGTCGAGTGCTAAGCACGTGACCACATCTGAAATGAATAAATTACGCACCAGCTGACCTGAGAAAAAATGCTAGCCAATCAGAATCGAGAAACTTTACAAAACTGAGGTGTCTAATTTTCCTCTTGAAATCACGGATTTCCCGGTCACCAAATAAAATAAAAACATTGCTAATACGTGCTTGATAGTAGTGAAAATAATTCAGGAGTTTTCTATTTTTATTGCAGTGGCGGGCATGTTTTCTATTTTTCTTTGGTCAATTTTCGCAGGCTTCGTGATTAAAGGCACACCAGTTTTGAATGATTAAACACATAACAAGAGAATATTAAGTAATCATATCCTTTTTGTAAWCACTACCAAATCCTGCAATCTGATTGGTTCAAAGGAGTGCGATTAATTCCCAAATCGCATCCTTAGGAGCTCTTAATCGCATCCTCAAAATAACTTTTTTTAAACAATAAAATAAAATAAAATAAAACAAAAAAAAATCAAAAAAAAAAGTTTTTTCTAGACGTTTTTTTTGTTCGCATTTAGTTCTCCTACATTAAATTGATTATTCTGCACTCTTTATTGTGTCTTTTTCTTGTGTATGATTACAAAGGATATGATTAAGTGGTAATTGAACTTCGTGTCGTGCAATTTTGGTCTGAAATCAAACTTGCAATTGCAAATCGCGCGTTTGATTTCAGACCAAATTGCACTCCACTCAGTTCAATTACCATCATTAATAAAGTTCATCTAAACTGCGCTTCTTGTGGTTTTCTTCAAACCTACCAGAATGCGCCCTGATACGGGATATCATTTTCCCCTTAGGAGTGAAGACCCGGATGGTGCTGTCCCAGTGCCCACCGGTAAAGATTAGTCGAGCGTCATTGGAAATAGCAAATAATTTGCAGGTGATGGTGAGGTCGGGAACAAAAGGTGCTGCAACAGTGCGTCGTAACCTGGAAAAAGTTAAAAAAAATTGTTAAATCAGTTTTAATGAGTAGTGGTTTTGAATAAAAATTCAGAAGAAAATTAACGACAAAAGTATTTGGACGTTGAAAATGACGACATGAGGCCGTCGAAACGCCCAATACTTTGGTTTCTAAGTTCTAAATCAGTTTTGTTATATTTAAAAGTATATTTTAAAGTTATTACGTCGTGCAACTTCCACTGCTGTAGGTTCTACTGATCGGGTTATTGGTTCGAGTTTTTTTTGGTATATATAACAAATAAGACTGGGTTTGTTCGATGTGTTGTCCCCCTTACCACGGGGGGTGTGTAGGGGGGGGGGTGTGGGTGGGGGGGAACACTTTCAAATAGGCCCTTTGCAGCTAAGCAATCACGTGCTGATTAATTCACTGAGAGCAAATGAATGAACATTTTGATTCCCATGGGTGAAATTTACTGGACTGCAAACAAACTTTCTACAACGTGTTTCGAGAGATTGTAATAAAACTACATTTCGTAACACACTGGATACACATGTTTTCATTCAGTTCTTTACAAGTAGCTAAAAAGAATCACCAATTTAATATAAAAACAAAAATTTTGCAGTCCAGTACAGACACGTGACCGTTAAGTGCAAAGGGCCTATTGCTGTAACGTTTCTGGTATTTATGCTAGAGCACTGCAATTTTGCTCAATTACAAATGTTAGCATGCAAATGCTGGTTGCCATGACTCTCTTTTTTGCAAAGGTCCCAAACTAAAAGGTTCTATACAGTGTGTGCAACAATGTGACTCAAAATCCATTGAGATATGAATAACAATGAAACAACCGCCATGTTGGCTGATCTAACAAGAGAAGCTAATGAGGAATGCTTTGTTATCGTTATGCACATTCTCCATATAATAGAGAATCTTCTAAATATCTACTCACTTTGGTGAATTCAGAGCGGGATCCAACTCGAAAGTGAAAGGCCTCGATTTACTCTTGGAGTATGGAAGCCAGTCCTGCGCAGCCAGCACTCCTCGACGACTGATGGTTACCATGGTGTCGGGCATACCGTGATGGATGAGACTGCGCGCTTGAACTTTTGGGACAGCGGTGAATACCAGTGGGTCACGGACATCGGTAACCTAGAGAATGAAAGGAAAGAGAAGATGCATTTTATTAAAGTGCTTATCAATAGAGTGCATACCCATATATCCGTGAACTTTGTCAGAAATTGTACAAATTTGCACAAATTAGTAAGTTCAGTAGACCTCGGTAGACCGTAGACCTACAAAACTTTGCACTAATTGTCTACAATTTTGTTAGTTAATTTTTTTTCGGATATATGGTATGCGCTCGCGAAATAGTACAAATTTGACGTCGCGAAAAAATAGGGTTTTGGTTGAACTTCAATTAAACTGTTTCCATGGTATTGTCGGAAAACACAATGTTTTTAAGGGCACGTGGTTATGGAATGTCAAGGAAACGCCTGTGCCAGAGCCAACCTCGTGACAACGATTACGCTTAAGGTAAATTTTAAACATTTTTTCGTAAGTCGATACATTTTCTGTAAGACCAAAACTCTTGATGATCTGTACACGCAACAGTAACTTGGAATAAACTGATAATCAGTATTGTACAGATAAAAGCAGGTATAGTATAAATTCAATTAAGAAACCTTTCAATTTGGGACAGTTTTTTGATTGGTTACCCCCCCCCCCCCCCCCCCAAAAGCAAGGCATTATGGGGATGTGAAAGTCGAGAATTGCTCTATCTTCCAGCATGGCTGCTACTGTGAATAGTAGACCAAACTTACTTCAACAAAATAGGCCTTTAGTTTATCAAAGACATTGAAGACATTAGGAAGCAAGCGCGTCGTCCCGGAATTCTCCAGGACCTTGTTTTTATACGCAGTAGCTTCCTGTTGAGTCAGGCGCTGTGGGTGTGGCTCGGTGAGGAGTTGGGTGGGTGTCTGTCCGAAGTTGTTGATCATTCCTTCTAATGGTTCGCGCTCTTTTGGGTCTGTTATGGCGTCGAGGTCTATTGCTCCTGATAAATAAGAAAAAAACGGAAATGAATGAGAATGAATGTAAATGGGAGGGAATGAAATAGAAAGTAAAGAGACAAAATAAAAGAAAGGGGATGCAATTATCCTCTTTTATAAAAAAAACCCTTACAAAACAATAACAAAATATCACAGCAACAACAATATTAACAACATAAAAAAAAGGAAATAAAAAAAAAATCCTGGAATGAATGAGAATAGGATTTACAATGAAACAATAGACGAGAACGAAAGAGAATGTAATAAAATTATTGAATAAATGAAAAGAAAACTGATGGGACAACTACCTTCTTTAATGCAAAAAAGAAAATATTTTGTTAAATGTGAACCAAATGAATGAGAGAAAGATATCTAATTACCTTCGTAAGTGTAATAAAAGAAAACATTTAGAGCATCCTCAGCAGCTTTGCCTCTTTGCTTGTACCCAAATATCAAGTCAAACCAGTGATGAATATTCTTCGAGACGTATTCCGACTCTAACGCTTTCCTGTGTTTGTAAACAAACTCTTCCGGGGTCTTCGCCCATGGTGGTAGTACCACGTGGTCCACCACGGTACCATCCTGCAATCGACCAATATCAAAGCGGTTCAAATTTTCCAGGAATTCAGGGAAGTAGAAAAATTCTGGAATGAGTTCTCGTACATCAGAGGCCTTGTGGTAGATTGAATCCCACTGTGTAGGGATGTCCTGGAATTGCCTGTCCGCGTGGTCGAAGCGCTCGTTTTGTAGTTTGATGTGGAGGGTGCTGTAGGGTTCAACGCGGAGAAGGTAGAAGAGAACGCCTGCTGAGTTGGAGTAGTGGGTACCGTAGTGGAACTTCGGCATCGTGCCAGTCGGATCGACAAATGAATTATACCTGAAATCAAGCATAAACGTCATAGATTATAGCTGACGGGGTATTGACAGGTGAAATCGGAAAAAAGTGAGGAAGGGAGCTGAGAGAGGAAAGGAGAGGAGAGGAGAGGAGAGGAGAGGAGAGGAGAGGAGAGGAGAGGAAAAACATATCTTAGTATACAAAGAGTTTTATTTCACTAACTTGTCTCGCACTTCTTCCGCCCTCTCGGGATTTAACGCCCCAAGAGGTTTCGACAAATCCCTGTACACCTCGGGGTTATCCAGGTTGAGCTCTTTAGACCTGTAATCTGTTAATACCCAAGGGAAGACTGGATACTGACTCAAGTCGTTGTACGTTCGTCCAGCGATCGTGTTTAACTGCATTAGGTATTCAAAGGTAGAAATTTCTCGTCGGACCCATCGCTCTGTTAAACCCGAGGTCTTGAGCAGCTCTATGGGAGAACGAGCACCAATGTAATAGAGATTGGGTGGACGAAGACTCATGATGCTCTTATAGACAGATCGGCGGTCCTGTGAGGGGGAAGAGTACATTAACAACATCACCACATCGTATCAGTATCATCATCATCATCATTATTATCAGTAGTATCATCATCAAGTTCATTATTATTATCATCAACATCATCAGCATCAACATCAATGCACATCACCATCAATATTTACTAGACGTCATTTCCTGTCCCGTGCGGAATTTCAAGTTTTCAATATAATTTTTTCTGGCTGACAGCACATGGCGGTCAGTGTTTGACCACCATTTGAAGCAGATAATGAGATTCAAAGACTTTTATCATCTGATTGAATTCCAACAACTCGTGCTGCTCTGGGCCTAGGCTCCTTTGCAGACGTTACTTGTGTCGGTCTCTTATCCCTCCGTCACAAATAACGTCTGCAAAGGAGGCTACTTTGGGCCCGGTTGTATGAAGCCTGGATAGCGCTATCCAACGGATAAATCTTATCCAGTGGATAAATTTATTGGATAATAGCATCGACTTATCCACTGGATAAGGATTTATCCGCGAGATAGCGCTATCTAGGCTTCTTACAACCGGACCCTGAAAATTAAGACTACTTCGACTAGAAAATAGAAAAACAGTGAAGACACAAACACGCACCTTTTTAGAAAAGTTAATAAAATAATTCGTATGATCGACCAAAAAGAATTCCAATGCTGTTCTTCGAAGGTTGTGACGTCTAAGATGAACTTCTCTTAGCTCCGTCAGAGCCCACGCAAACGCCTGGGCAGCAGTTTCTTCATTCTTATTGGCTAAGAAGTAGACATGCGTAGTAGAGACCTTCAGCTTTCCTGGGAGACTCTCCATTAAAGTGATGAAATCCGCATCAACTTCTAGCAGTACTTTCTCTGTTAACGTTGGAGTCTTTCGTTGAGGACTAGGGAAAGATAATTTCTTAATCAAGATTCTCCTTATATTTTATAACTATCACTTCCCATATGGGGCTCTTCTGTGAGGTTCCCTCCACACAAAATACCACTACATTCTAGATTTACAACATGCAACACTCAACTCACACGTTGCTTTTTAAGGAGGGAGGAAACCGGGGATCCCGGAGAAAACTCTCGTGGCAAAGGAGAGAACAACACTGATATCAAACAAACTCAACTCACATGTTTCTTTTTACGGAGGGAGGAAACCGGAGATCCCGGAGAAAACCCTCGTGGCAAGGGAGAGAACGAGCTCGAATCCGGACCACAGTGGTGAGAGGCGAGCAGAAAACCACTATGCCACCCAAACCAACTCGTTCTATTTCCAATAGTCCCTTTCACAGTTCCCTGTGCCATCTTGAGAGGTAGCCGTGCCTTTGCATCGAAGCGAGACGAACGGTGAGCTTGCAATGATAGAGACTTGTGAATAATTGTCCAAGGTGTTAAAAGGTCTCTATCATTGCAAATTCACCGTTCGTCTCGCTTCGATGCAAAGTCACAGCTACCTTTCAAGATGGCCTAGGGAACTGTGAACGGGACTATTATCTGTTTTTCGTCTATAATGGAATTACCTTGTTGGTGGGCTGGCTGTGTTATTAGGTAACACAACATCTTCAAAGTCAGTCGCAACCTCGGATCCCTGTACCAGCGCTTCCTTGGACAGGCGTACTGCAACCGATGACCCATTCCCGTTACCATTCTCAAGCCCTACATTATCACGTTTCTGGCTAGCGTCCAAGTGATTGGTGAAATTGTAGTTGCGACAGAGCTTAAGACGCATGCGCTGAAAGTTCTCGGTTGTTGACAGCTTCCAATACATCTCTTCGGGAGATCTGGTTCAAAGAATGACACAATATTGAATATCAGGCTTGTAAGTCCCCATCGTTTGTTTATGGGTTCCCTGTGGAGCCGTATATTATAAGATGTTGAGACCACATGCTCAGTCCATGATGAGTCTCGACGAGGACATCAGAGATTGTAAGATTTAAAAAATAAAAATAGATTGTAGATCAAATTCGTATCTAAGTTTTCTTCGTTCGCGACCTTGTACTCGAAACAGTGGGGGCCTTCGCCCCCGAGTGACTCAGAACCAGTTACATACAAGGCTCATGGAAGATTGCATGAGACTTGGCTTGAGAGGGGAGAACTGGGACTTGGTGGATGAGAGGGGGGACTGGGACTTGGTAAGGGAGAACTTACATAGCACTCAGCTGATGTAATATATTCAAAAAATCTATTCTATTGTATTGCCGTTTTATCTATTCCCTGCTAGCAGAGCCTATTTTGCTTTTGTTTTGGTGGAGTGAGAAAAATAGACTCTGCCGATGTAGGACGTTATACTTGTCGCGCCTGCGTGGCGTAACTTAGCAACGCTGTCTTGATTTTGACAGCCACTCTCGTCAAACAACGTTTGGCGCCACGGTATGTTACATTTGCTCATGCGCACTACATGTACCTGGTTAAAAACCGGTTTTAAAACTGGTTTCGTTCGTCCACGATCGTGGACGGCGGTGTATCAAAGGAAACGCTCTACATCGGCAGAGTCTCCTTCCTCCCCGCCTGAAAGAAGGGAGAGAAAGAGGGGAGACTCTGCTAGCAGGGAATTTTATCTATTGCGTTTCGTGTGATTCACTGTATTCTTATGAATACCTTATATCAACAACATTTCGCTATTTATCATTCCCATTGAAGAACATAAATCCACCAATCAAGTTACGATTTACAATTTAGGTCTAATCTCTCACCTGTTCGCCCATGCAGCTCTCTCGGAGGTAAGTTTTCGCTTACAGATCACCCAGTCACGTGACGTCATAGCACTTTCTTGGCTTTTTTGCGTGATAACACTTGTTTCGTGTTCTCTTTGTTTTTCCAGTACTTTTCCCGCCTCCCTGATGATGGCTTCCTGGTATTTAACACTGCTTGTCTTGGTACTTGTATCTCGTTTCTGTAGACTGCTGGTCAATCCATTCAGACAGTCCATCCAGAACCTTCCAGAGGCGACTGAACTGTCAGAACTAGGAGGAAATCAGTTACGACTCCCCTTAGTTACCGTTGCTATGTCTCACAAGCTCAACAAATTATCTAGAATATCTCAAAATACTCAAACAATATGGTCTGAGTCATGAAATTTACCAAGCGAGGGTACGTCATAGGACCAATATTTACGTTATCACGGTCAAGTTGGTTGCATTTGAAAAATGATTTCTCGTTAGCTCCCTTTCTTTATACCACCAATATGGCCGCTCACAGTTTCTCAGTATGGGACGGACCATTAGATAATTAACGGGGAGGGGGGGGGGGTGCGTATATCCCAAAAAAATATCGCGCAACCTCTCCTTCCAGTAAAGAAATATCCAGCAAACACGTAAAAAAGTGCGTGTGCAGGGGTTGTTACAAAAGACCCTGCAACATAAATTCCTGCAGCCCCTCTCTATTATCTAATAGATAACATAACTGTTTGTTGTTTTACAGTCGAGACGTCTTAATAACAAAAAAAGGCAGAGGTAAAAGCATATTACTAACATACCATTGGTTCTCGTACGGTCGGATCGCCGGGATAACTTGTTGTCGCATAAGAGCTTTAAACTCCTCTGTTTCCGCCAATTTTATGAACTCGTCTTCGAACTTCGGCTGGCTTTGACCTGGCGCGGTGAACGATGGGATATAGATACTCAGAGGTAACCGTTCGCGGTATTTGAGCACTATCATGCGAATGATGGGTAGAATGAAGGTGAAATTCTTGGTTTCTACGAGAGAAAAAGACAGAAGAGAAAATATGAGAAAATTGGTGACACATTTGAACTCAAGTCCTAGCACATTTCTTTTTACTGATGTTATAATATGTTATTTTTGTAATATGGTTTATTATATAGTTAGGATAGTACGCGCGCGCTGATTGGTCGAAACCTGTGCTTTCGGAGTCGGAAACAGTCCATGCGTGAGATTGCGATTTAGTGAAAACCGCTCATCACAATCATAAGCACAAGCTAAGAAAGAGGAAATCTTCCGACCCTTCCGATTCCGATGCGCGTCTGTCTTCGATTACAAAGTTTTCTGATTTTCACTTCGTCACAAGCTGCTTTCGACTACGATTCCGTCGTTAAAGCCTGCGTCACATCCGAAACTTTCTTTGTAAATACCGTCGGACTTATTCGAAAGAAAAGGCCGGATGAAACGTAGGCTACCGTCCTCTTCCCCCGTACCAAAAGCAACGGAGCATAGTACAACATCTTGTGTTACCTTTTTGCCTTGAGTCCACGAACGCGTTATACAGCTTGCCTAACACGTAACACAACTCGACCTGCGAATGTATCGTTCGCGCCTTGAGTAACTTGCTCAGTTTTGACGAAGCAGTGGCACAGAATTCTGTTTCTTGCCGAGATATAAAGCCCAGAAGGATTCGACCTCCGATTTGCGCCATTTCTTCCCATTCAGTTGTCTCTTCGCTGTCATCTTCGCCCCAAACGTTTAGAACTTCCAGAAGCTGAGCGACTGACTGGACTAACTAAAATTGGAAACGCAGACACGTGACTGCCAAATGCCTCAACGTGATTGGATAGATTTTCTTGCCGTGTCATTGGTTCAGAGCGCAAAGCAATTAATTCAATGGTTTGTTCCCAGGTTTCGCTAAAGTTTTCCTCCCTCAAAAAATAAAACGCACGGTAAATTTCATTTCGGTGTGTGAGCTAGGTGTTTCAGGGTTTAGACTGAAGCAAAGATTTCAATCCTCTAAAGTCTTTAATTCAGTCTAATATCTCCCTCAAGATATTGGTTCTTTTATTGCGGTTCTTTGATTGACGGTCGTTGAAATGCTAGTCGGCTAACGAGACATCCAACTTTGCGGGTCGCACTTCAAAGATAATGGTAGTAAGTTCCAATGTTCATACCTTAACACTCCATGTATGGGTAGCTTCTATCTCCTGGCCGGTAAAAGAGACTAGGCGAAAGAAAAAGTTACAAATAAGCCCTGGGGTTATACTCATTGGTAACGGTTTTTGATGGGTTTATAATCGGTGGAGAGGGTGAAGAAATAGCAAGAGTGCGCACGTGCTGTGTGTAGTTATAAAGCACGCGGGGTTGGCAGAACACGAGAGAAGTGTTAGGAGAAGCTCGACGAGCAGCGGGTGCTCCTCAAGACTTCTCGAGTGTTCTGCTAATCCTCAAGGGTTTTACAACTACACACAGAACAGCAAGCAAGTTTTTTATTTCTTTTATAAAATACAAATGACAATAACCGTTATTTTGAATACAAATGACAAAATAGACAGTGCGCGCGCGTGCTCTGTGCTGTTATAAATCATGCGCTCCCATCCAATCAGAACGCGAGATTCCAAACAGGTCTTTTATAACGTGGCTTATAATTGGAGTATGGCGTGGTTTAAGACTAATAAAATGCTCCATTATACCTGATGTGAACAGAAAGTCTTCCACAAGCCTCATCACCATCAGCGCGTTCTGCGTCTCACTCGCTCCTGTTTGTCCTGACCGCTGAATATCTTCTACAGCTGCTTGCAGGCTCATTTCTAGCAGGGTTCTCTCAATTACCCGGGAAGGGTATAAAAAGATCTCGGTGGACGCGATGGTACTGACTGCTGTAATGACTTGTCCACGATCCTATTACACCGACAAAATTCATTAAAAATACATCAACAAGGTTTATAGTGACGTATACACTTATTTCAATAAAGTTAGTCACCAAAAAATCTAGAAAGCTGAGATCACTGAGCATCATGGGGAACTTTTCATATCAAAAAAGCATATATATACAAAGCTTTTTTAATACAAATTGCAGCTCGATGATGCTCACAAGAGGTGAGACTGTAACCGGTAAAAGATTCGCAAGTCCATGAACAGTTATCAATCGGTTGAACGCGTAAAATGAATCTTCCCATAATCCTTGTCGGCCTCAGCTTTATAGTTTTTCAGGTGACTAACTTTATTGAATAGGTGTAAATGACGGCAATGGAAAACTGTATAAAGCCTTAAAAAAATATAACTAGGGAAAGATGCACATAAACCGGTTGTAGCAATAAAAGATAAAACAATAAAAAAGCTCGTAAAGGCACTTGGGATAGCCATGGATCCTCCTCTGGGTTGATCCAGAAAAACAGCTCTAAACAGATCTAGATACTTTCTTGTTAATTAGTTTTTTTAGGATTTCAAAAATCCTGTCAAAACAAACCTATACTTGGATTATTTTACCTTCCAAGCCTCTTCATCGTATCCCTGAACTCCTCTCCACATCACTCGAAACAATATGTCCAGCACAGTGTTCACTAGGTCTTTCACAAACACTGCCTCATCCGACTCGAGGTCTGATGGAATCTGGTCACGTGAGTTAACGGTCAGCAGTCTTAGCAGGTAGTCATACCAGGCGGGTTCTTTTGCTAGTGACATGTGACTCTGTCTGCTGGCATCTAGAGATCGCAAAATCTGTGGATTTGTTACGGAAGCAATGGGTAAAGATATCAAGATTACATAGCTGCAAAGGCATAGGTCATTACGAAGATTACCCTAATATGATAATTTCCCCTTCAAATGCAAGCAAAAAGAAGCACCTTAAGATTGGGGAGACTTCGATTGGAAAATTTAGCATACCAAGAGAGCAAGAGAAAATAAACTGGTTCACTTTGAATTTGTCTTGAAAAGAGCACGCGCGCGCGTGTGTGTGTGGTGGTGGGGGGGGGGGGGGGTTATAGCCAGCAGCCCCCCCCCC